TGATCGGTCCCAATCCGTTTCATACGCATACAGTGGGAATTCGCAGGGGAAAGTTAGGTTTTATCTAACAAGTTCACAGTTGCGAGTTCTGAGAAAAACTGAACCTTACATGTCATTAGTCTGATGCGATGGCGCCGCGGTTAGTTTTTCTCGGGCATCTGGAATCGTCAGTCCGAACTATGTGAAATGTTGTGGCATACACAAGACTGGTAGCGAACAATCAATTGAGTTTTGTCAAGCTCTACGGGTCGATCTGCCGTAGCCTATAAAGTCCAACTTCCGACAACTGCCTCCAAAATCAGTTTGAGTTCTGGATTTTTCTTTGCTCGTTACCGTAAATGATCAGTCGATATTTCTTCACGCAGAGTTGTGAGATGAACGGATAGTAGTTGCTCTGACATCATAGATGACACCGCACTAATGTCATGACATACCCGTTGTATGACCAAGGCGGATTTGGAATTTCTGGGCCTCCAATGGAAGTGGTAAATGGGACCAGAATTGAGTTTCACAATGCGTCAAAATTCCTTTTGATTGTCATGCATGGGCCGCCATCATCAGATGCATCTAAGAAGCCGACTTATCCTCCCGCAGAAGTTAGTCGATCAAAAGTAAAAGTATGTTGTACTAGTGATACAAAATCGTTCACTCGACGGAGGGCATTCGGTTATGCACGGAACAGAACGTGTTTGTTTGTGTAATCCATTCTCTGTTCAATCAATGGGGTTTCGCTCAGCTGATCTCGGAGGCGGGAATTGGCATTTAGATACGGAGCGCTGACAGTTTGTACAACCATGAACCATGCATTTTCCTGTGCCAGTTTTGGTTGCTGTCTGCCGACTGCCCACTTGGAGAAAGAAGAAAGTTAAAGGTAGAGTCGAATGGAAAATTTCAGTAAACTAATGTTGCAAAGAAATTAAGAAGATGCGGGAGCACAATTGTTTAGGACACTCAGCCATATCACTCGGTGTTTTTAACCATTGGTTACAATCATCCAGGCAGCCCTAACCGGACCTCTGACCCAGTCTGCTGGCAAGTGTTTTCATACCCTCGTACCAGGCCTTAGCCCGCCCAGCTTGATTGGGCGGTGCGGAGACCTCACCGTGGAAGTCCCAGGTATCCCGATTCTACATCCATCTGGCAAGATTCTTAACCTTTAAGCTGCTCCTCACTATGTTCATTTGCTGGAGTGACCTCTCCAAGGGCGGGTGGGGATAGAATGAAGCCAGGCGGTGTCAAAGCAGCCGGATTTGTGAAACAGCTTTGTCTGGCCTCTACCCGTTGACCTTTCAGACATGATTGAATCTACGGCTGTGGGAAGCCATCGTGTGTTGCTCGCAGAGTCAGGGAGGCACGTAAGCCATCACATCACGTCAAGGTACAGTCTGGTCGTGATGATGTCCGTGACTTGCGTTGATGCACATTCAGTAGCGAAGTACCGTACACTTGCGATCCACTTCTTTCTATTTCAGACCTCTCTGGGAAAGGAGAAAAATAATGAAACGCAAAAACTGCGGCATATGTTGGTCAGTGGCCGTGTGGAAAATTTTTTGGGGGTTATTGCGACCAGAAGAGCAGTGTCTTGTCACCTAATACTTAGTTCAAGAGAAATTCAGAATATGGAGTCTTGCTCAGTCTGGATGTCTAGAAAACGATTAAAACTATTCATGATGCATTCAACCAAAATTGGAGCAATCAACCGGGCATTTAGACCTTCAGTTTGAAGTTTTCATTTACATCGATATCGTTTGCACAGGGGAAACTTTTCTAACCTAATAAATCGAGTTTCGCGGCCGAACGTTGCTCTACACAGTTGGTTTTCCATTCTGGTGTAAACCGCTTTAAATATAAAAACAACAAAAACACAGGCCTGTTTTCTCTTCGTTTGATTAGTTATCTGCAGTGTTCCCTGCTCACTATACGGTGCCGCATGATCATCATATCTGTTAGTCACCTTGTGTATCTTGATTACCATTATTTTTCGAAAACAAAAACTGATAGGCAAAACCAGCTGTTTTTCGGTAAATTCATCAACTGGCCTTCACAATTATCTGTGGTCCTCCGATCTGGTTTGGATCGCATCAAACTAAGTAGAGAAAGCATACCAAGTTTGTTTATCTGATCCTCTTCTCGGCTCCCGTCCCCCGTGTGTGTGTGTATCGATGGGTTCCTTTATCCGAGGCTATGGGAAAACTGGAGCACGAACGATCTGCTTTTGGTTGCACAGAGGTGGGTTCCAACGTTTGGATAGCTATTGCCTCGGCTGTACCTAGGATGATAAACCGAAACAGTTTTGACATTCTAGATGACGGCGCGTGATAAGTGATACCGAAGCCTGATCAACACTAAACGTGTACTGTGTCTCAGTATGTATTGGTAGATACTGCTTTTCGCCGTCGTAGATTCACCGTGTCTCAAACAGGGAGTTATAACTCGTGTACCCTCTTCGATAGCTGGATCGTACCTCATCATCATCGTACAGCGAAGCGAACTTCGCTGATCGCTGCCAAACTCGCAATGTATACAACATTAATGGTAAAATTTAAGGTGGGCAGGGAGTGGATCTATTTTGAGGAAAGGAGAAGAAGGTGAACCTCTATGGTCAACACAGAGTAC